GGGGGGGCGCACTGGGATGGGGGGGCTCTCAGGGCTGCACACCCTGTCCTGGGCACCACCGTGAGGCCCAGCCTCTGCTGGTGCCTTCGTTCATCTGCGCTCGGCCAGCCGAGAGCAAGGCAGGCAGAGCTGGGTGCTGAGGGGGTGTGAAGGGAGGGGAAACATCCACCACGCGTACCAGAGGAGGGGGTTGTGCCAGGCTGCAGTCACTGGGGGGGTTCGGTCCCTTTATTCTTCCCCTGCTAAAGTGACACCCATCAAGCCCAGAAGGCGTTTGTGGACGTTTTGACGCTACAAACTCAGCCTTATACTGCTGCTATATTGGTAGTTGCAGGGACTGTGCTTCATTTTTTACAGGATGAGCGTGTCCTGCCAGAAAATAGTTGTTTACTGCTGTTATAATGAATAACATACCAGCGGGGAAAACAGGCTTCAGCATGCCAATGACAGCTATGGAAACAGCCGTTTGCAAATTCTTAGTAGAAACCTCTCCAATTATTCCATAGTGGACTTAGTCCTCATGAAAATGTGGAGCCAGATGTGAGTGATAATAGTGTGCTGCCATGGTTTAGGAAGTGCCAGTGACTCCTGGAGGGCAAGCAACAACTTTGCACGTGGAGCTCTTTGCCAAGTGGAAACGCTTTTCTGAATGTTCCTTGTTACTGAGGTACCGGGGGCCCCAGCCTGTTTTAGGGTGTGTAGGCCACAGTGGCCTGTGAGAGGAGAGATGTGCTGTTATGAGTGGAAAACTCAGGTACTGCAAGTAAGAGTCAAACGTAAAAGAATAGAGAAGTCAGAAGGTGGGGAAACGCTTCACCTGGTTTAAACAAAGAATTACGGGCACAGTGGGCACGTGTGAGAGGTGCTCAAACGCGCACGCCAAGGAGGCAGTGTCGTTATTCCCCTGCTGCTTCCTTCCAGCATCCTGCCTTCTCTGCCCACGCGCTGTCTACCCTTTTACCCCCTTCCATGCTCATTACCTGGGAGACCTGATCCTTAGCTGCTGTCCCGTTCCGATCGCTGTCTTGCAGCCCCCAGGGAAAACTTGTCCCGGTTCTTCCTGAAGCACAGAACTATTGTTACTTTCTGCTGTATGCATCTGATCTGCAATTTTGAAATCTGAACTAAGCGTGTGAACACATGCTGTAAGCCATACAGTGAAACTTCCGCCTTTCTGAGAGAATGGAAGGGAGAAATCACTTATTTTACATGTTTCAGAGCAGCTGCTTGCAGTCTTCAGTATTCACTTTTATTTCAGTAAGAAGTAGTGTTTTAACAGTTCCAGTCAATACAGATGAGATGATATGCAAGCAGTGCTTCATTCAGGGCTCCAATGCAATGCATCAGCAGCGGGAATTTCTTCCAGTGCTTTAAAAAAAAAAAAAAAAAAAAAAGCCATGATTACTACATGCAGTTCACATCCTCAGCCTCCATACCTTCCACAAGCTGGTTAGCAAAGGCAAGAGGCAGTGTTATATATCAGAGTGCAATGTAGTAAAATTCAAACCGTTATCGTCTCTTTTTTTTTTTTTAATCTGTTTCTCGTAAGTACTGTTCAATTCCCATGAAAGAAGATACGTTTATGAATTAACTGATCCACAGTATACCCTAGCCACCTCTGAATTACACAAACATATTTTATTTAATAAAAAATACTTAGTAATAGATTTACCTACTTGGAAATGTAAGACATAGCATGATTTTATTCTGCCTCTGGCCAATCTTACTATGGCTCATTAGGTTTGCTACATAACACCAAAATATTGCCTCATAGTGGAGAGCTGGTATTTGCAAGTGCCATAGGAATAAGACAGAAAAGTATTTTAAATAAGAACACTGACTTTGGCATGTAGAACAGGATAAAGTTGAGTTTCAAGATACTCCCACAGAACACAGATATGGAGCAAGTTACGAAAGAGAATGCGTAACTTAGAAAGTCAAAATTTATTTACAAGTTTTCACTAAAAAAAGGAAACAACAAAATCCCTCTTCCTGGATATACTCTCCTCTGCAAAACACTGCAACTGAAACCTGTTGAATTCATTTACACGTTTTACAGACTTATCTTTGTATACAACCATGTATACTTTAGTCATCAAGACATCAGAAGAGATGATCAACCAAGCTGTTTTAAAACAACATAACTGCCTGGTTTCTCTAGCCCTTCCCACTTTTAAAAATAAGCCAAAACAAGTCACACTCCAGCAGAGAGAAACAGAAAAGACATTTGAAGTCTAGCTTTTCTAAAAAGGTATATGAGGAACCGTTTCCTTGCATTCAAAGTTGCTATATAACATTCGGCCTGACCCAGCAGACTTCACTGAGAAGATCTGTATCTAAGGAATTAGCAGTACTGTCTGAGAAAGAACTGCAAAGTCATACCCACAGGATCAATTTCAGAAAGTCCTTACTTTAACAGAGGAAGATGGAGGGGGGAAGAAGCAGTAACGGAGGTTGCAAATTTGCTCTTGCTTAAAAAAAAGAATTGCATTTGAAAAGGGCGCAGTATTTTCCTCCCATATTACCCCAAAAGCTCAGAATACAAATGGTTCCCCGCTTCTAACACAAAGTACTACACAAAAGTTTAACGCACACTTAAAAAAAAAAAAAAAAGAAGTAATAATAATCCTTGAAAGAATAGTAACCAATACTAGTTACTAATACCACTCGCTAATCTAAATTAACACTGAATTGCCTCTATTTAGGTACAGCTCTTTGAGATGTTGCATAGCTATTGCACCTGTTTCCAACCTACTTTGCCATTAGCATCAAACATCATCAATCCGAGAAAGCTATCAAACACCAAGAGAAAAATCCTGGCCTCAGCTTAGCCAGGAAAATTTCACTTATGATTTCGAATGAAACAGGCTTTTTTCCCCCCTCTAGTTTTAGCCTCTTCAAAATCACAACAGTATTTTCAATAGCTTATAATATTTCTAGAGCCAAAATTCATACTCTGTTAAATAGTACCGTGGTAGTAACTATGTAATAACAAACACTGGATTTTTTTAAATTTAAAAATAAATTGGGAAGTGTACTAAGAGAAATCCATCCCTGAGTGACAAGACAAAAGCCGCATCCTATTGACAATCATTGCAATATGTTACAACGCATATTGTAACAGTCAATGCTATTAACAGGCAGCAGTAGAACTTGTCGGAGTCCAATATATTTACAGCATTGTTGCACTGATCCCATTCTCTTGTTTAATGAAACTGTAAGCGAACATTAGGGAAATAAGATAAATAGAAACAGTGTCTTTATTATTGTAAGTCGAATGTCAAATTGACAGCTACATCATGTTGGATCCCAGAAAAGCCGTGATGGTTGGCAACTTTCCTCTTTGGATGTCCAAAAGCTTTTGCAACAGATCATCTTCAGCCAAACAACAGGAGCAGCACAATTGTAACAGAGTTCACTGCTATTAATGGCACTGCAGAGAAAAAAACGGAGTAATTGTGAAAATGTTGTTTTATACATCACAAAGAGCCAGAATTTCATGTTAGGCTGGGAGACTACCTTTTCAGGAGTAAAATAAACTACATCTTAAAAACAATACAATTGATTTACCTGGGCAAATGAGAATTAGTGGAAGGGGCCATGATTGAAGTCTGGGATTCCAAAAATTAATAGGAAGCTACAGTGTAAACATTCTTACGGCCTTCTACGTTTTAACTTTGGCCCAAACAAGCCTTTCTCCAAATGAAACTAAACCGTCTCAAAATCTGTTTCTGTCTTTAGCTTCTACTGAGGTTTAGAAAAATACAATTTCTTATTCTTTGCTGGGCAGAAGAAAACGCGGGGTTTGCTACTGCTTGAAGGCTGTTTGTCCGGGCGTGTAAAGTCCATTTCGGTGTGCTCTATAGCGAGTGCCTATCAGTGACTTTCAAATTAAGTTTTCATTCTTATTTCCATACTTCGAGGCACGTAAGTCCGGCTTACAGTTAAGACTCCCGGGAATTACGTTCCTCTCACCGGCTACTTGAATTCACACAAAACCGAGTTCGGCCAAGGTGAAGCGGGTTTCACAGGCCTCCCCACCCGCTCCCCCAAACTTAAAGGCCCGGCTGCTGCTGCTGCAGCAGCAGCGCCGCAAGCCCCAGTCACACTCCACCTCTGCCCAGCTCGGGAAGCGGAGACTGTTGTATAGGTTCTCCAAGCTCGGGCGCGAGGCCTGCACGCCGCGACCTGCGCCGCCCTACGCGGAGTCCGGGCCGGAAGGACGGAGTGACAACGGCAAGCAGAAGAAGAGCAGGGCAGAACCTCGCGTGCCCAGATTATTTCCTTAAGGCACGGAAACAAAAACCTTACGGGCAGCGGAGGATTACCTGCACCTTACCTCGCATAACGGTTCGGACGGATCGAATAAGGTTCATTAGCTGTGCTTTAATTCCTGGTTCTTCTCCAAATCCTCCGATCCCTTGATCGCTTCCCCAGCCGACTGCGGGGCAGGCAGGCAAAGTCAGCCAAGGGGGGGAAAAAAAAAAAACAACCAACAACCCCCCTCCCTCCCCCGGCGGAGGGTGAGGAACCGGGTGTTTCCAGGCAGCTCTGGGGTGGGGGGGGGCGAGGGCAGGGCAGGGGTTTGGCGAGGGGCCCCGGCCCAGCCACGCGGCACA